CTTTTTCTTCTTTTTCTTTTTTTTTTTTTTTTTTTTTTTTTTCTTCTCCCTTCTCCCCAAATCATCCTGAGCAGGAAAATATTCATGGGAGCAGAATACATATTTTTAATAAGAATTTGAGTTCAGGTAATAGATACAGGATTGCATGCTTTTGTTCTTAAATTTGGAAGAAGAAAAACATGTGCACCATTCTTAGTCTTGACACCTATGTTATCAAAGTTGTTGAGGCTTTAAGAAGTTTTTAGGGTGCATTTTTCAGATACACAGTCTTACACAGACTCTAGAAACGCAGATTATTTAATAACCAGGACTGAAAACCTTTTCTCAAACAAATCAGAAAATAGGAAAAAAGATTTATTTTGAAAAGGTTTTTCTACCTTTTTAGGGAAACAAACACACTGATAGAAATACACCATTGTAAGGAGTGCATCTAGACACGGGCTGAGCAATAATTAGTTTTAACACTGCAAGCTTTTTGAAGAAGTGGATCACTGTGTTAGTAATGCTGCTGCAGATACGAGTTAAGACTTTGAATTTAATGAAACTTAATCAAGTTTAACTGAGTGATTACTTACTTTCTTTTCATCTAGATTGCTAATAGGTATTCCTAGTAATGAATGTCTTTTGCCTAAGGTTATTCATCTATACAGATAGAGGATGCTTTATGCAAATTTTGAAAGACTATTCTGAGCATTTTTTCTTGCTTTTCAAACACATTGAAATTACAGTTAACGTCTCAGTGCTACAATTCTAAAAAAGCTTATCTACAGTGTTCTGGACTTCAGATCCACTGGTAGGGGTTACCTGTTCCACAATCAGTGTAGAATATTGTATGAACTCTTAGTGCTCTTCATTTACAGTTTGATGGTCGTAGTGCAGTGTTTGTTTCCAGTCCAATCTGTATTGTTTAAAATTATATAATAGGTGCCTCTCTTGTGAAAGCTGAATTAGATAGTAGCGTGCACCGCGTGTGACACAGACTTTAAGATGTAGTAGCAGCCTCTGATTTCATCAATAAAAGTGCAGAGGTAAGAATTCATTGTGAGCAGATAGTTAGCAATTTATACTCACAGCTAAGTTTGATTCTTTTTTTTTAACCATATTTCTATTTATTTAAATCCCGTAACTACTTGAATTGTGGTTCAATGATTCATTTTCCTTTAAATATACAGAGAAAAGCCCTTTTTTCTTATTTTTTGTTTGTTTGTCTGCAGCCTTTCTTTAGAGCTCTACATTGCTATATGCATGCAATTTAGAATTTTCACTTTTATTATCTTCTGTTGTCACTTTCATTGTCCAGTATTCCCAATCAGGTTTTTCTATTCTCAGTTTTTTTTTCCTGCTTCATCAAGTTTGGCTGGAGGACTACATAGTTTTCCAAGAAAACAACACAAAAACTTAAATACAACCTTAAAATTTACAATTTTAGTTAGAAAAAGCAGAAAATAGAAGAAAAAACCTTTTTCTTTAGAAATGTTAACTAAAACTTCATATCTTGTATATGTATACTCTTTGCTCAAGCAAAAAAAAAATTCATTTAAAAAAGAGAACTATAAAATATTATGCTTGTCAAAGAAATATTTTTGTGGGGGGAAGTGGTTGTTGCACATCATTATGAAACATATGAAATTTATGGAGCAAAAATGTTATAAGCACAGTGATAATAAAATTAGTGTAGTGCATTGTAAGTCTTGGATTTTATTAATGCATATTGATATTGTACTTTGTCTTTAAAATCACTCATTCTAGGGAAACCTTCAACTCCCTTCAACTCCCAGCAATTTTACTGGCAAAGCATGGAGGAGGCATGTACTAATCTTCAAAGACTTCTTTCAGTTTCTATGCCTCAAGCTGACTGTAAAGTCATCTATTACTAGAAAAACTTTCCAGAGGAACTACCTTTATGCTGCAGAAATATTCTCAAAGATTCCCTCACACCTTCAGTTTGTCTTGGATCCTTTCAAATGCCATAAACAGAATATCCTTTGCTCAGCACTTGTTAAATCAAACACAAGATTTTCACTGCACAAAATATTGCCTTTTCAGTTAATATCAGAACCAAAAGAGTCTTATTTCAGCTATTGATGTGTTAGTTGAAAATAAACCATGCAAAAAAGAACTATGTAATAAACCCAGTGAGTACATACTTGTCTTAATTATCTTAATTATCTTAATTACAGCCAGTATTAGCTGTGCCTTCTAAAGTAGTGTTACAGCCTCTTACTCACAGTATTTGAACTTTGAGACTGCTATTCTGACTCTCTAGCTCCGGTATTTTTCTACACTGCCACCCAGAGAGTTTGTCTTAGGTTCCCTGAGTAGAAGTATTGCAGAAGCAATCTTTCCTTCATTCTTGGTGAAAGCAGATGGAGATCAGGATGAAACAGACAGAGAAAGTACACACGTTCATGTGGCGGGCAGTGAACTTCAAGAATTTGCCTCCACAGCAGGTTGTGGAAGCAAAAATTATCTGTGAGTGCAAAAAGATCACATGGATCAGATGGATTCAGGAAGTCTGTAAGTGGCTATGGAAAAGCAGAAAGCCTAGAAGTCCAGTGCCAGCATGAGCTCTCCTCTCCCAGTTGCTGAAGGAGTAAAAGGGGAAGGGACTGCAGAAGCAGTTAGTCACAGAATCACAGAATGGCTGAGGTTGGAAGGGGCCTCTAGAGATCTTTTAGTCCAAACTCCCTCCTCTGGCAGGGACACCTAGAGCACATGGCACAGGGTGGCACCCTGGTGGGTTTGGAACAAGTCAAACTAACAAGTCAAATAGAAAGCAAATGAAAATAGCTATTAAAGATAATTTTTCCGTTTACTTCTGACCTGTGTTTTTTGGACACTTAATATAGGTTAATGCTAATGAACTAGGTATCATCTCTGTATACAGTACTGGAAAAGGAGTAATTTGGTTTCACTGTCCAAGCAGTGGTTGAAAAACATCAATAATCACAGACTCACAGAATGGTTGAGGTTGGAAGGGACCTCTAGAGATCATCTCGTCCAACCCCCCTGCTCCAGCAGGGACACCCAGAGCACGTGGCACAGGGTGGAAGATCTTCAGAGAAGGAGACTCCACAGCCTCTCTGGGCAGCCTGTTCCAGGGCTCTGTCACCCTCACAGTGAAGCAGTTCTTCCTTGCATGGAGGTGGAACTTCCTGTGTTTCAACTTGTGCCCATTCCCCCTTGTCCTGTCACTGGCCACCACGGAGAAGAGTTCGGCCCCATCCTCCCTGCATTCTCCCCTCAAGTATTTGTACATATTGATAAGTTCCCCTCTCGAACTTCTCTTCTCCAAGCTAAACAGGCCCTGCTCGCTTAGTCTTTCCTCATACGATGGATGCTCCAGTCCCTTAATCATCTTTGTTGCTCTATGCTGAATCCTCTCTAGAAGTTCCACATCCCTCTTGTACTGTGCGCTGTTCCTGAACGGCATCTCCTTCTCTGCTGGAAGCAGAACACTGGTGGTGGGTGGACTCAGCATTGGCCTCACTCAGTGAGGCTATTCTAACATTCATCCAAAGCATTTAATAGCTGTGTGGATTGCACTTATATTGCACATTACACTTTCTTGTTTAAGCTAATTTGATACATTATATTAGTTGGAGGCTGTTTCACAGCCAAATGAATTTCTTTGGAAGTACTAATAAAATATTAAGATTATAAAACATTATTCCTGTACTTATTTCATGTTATTTCTCTAATATCATATATCTTTCACCATTCTAAAAGATTCCTGTATGTACATGTTAACTTTTTCTAGAAGTCTTGTACAATAGTTGTCTTATTGTTACACAGCTACTGTGTAAGGAGGCAGCTTATAAATATGTCTATGTGTATAAATATTTATGTAAATATACATTCATTCAAAGAATGTCCTTAATGCTGAGAAGTGAGATTTTCAGAAGATTTCAAGAACTAAGCATTATAAAACAATCTTAATTCACGCCCTTGCACTCATGTTTTGTTCAATGGAGACTTTAATAACAGAATTAATAAAGAATGTCTTTCTGAAGGAATGTTTTGTCCTTCAGTGCATGGAGTGAACCTGGTATGAGGGGCAATCTGGACAACGCAGAGAAAGGCCGTTGTCATCTGTGTTCTAGAAGCTGCAGATGGTTGGTGCCTGGAGACTGAAAGAAGAACAAAGAAAGTCAATCTGTGAATGTAGCAGCTAGTTAATGCTCTAAATAGCTAGTATCCCATGTCATGCAGAGCCAGTTACTTGAACTTTTCACATACGTTTCACTTTCTGTGTACTTTATGTGCAACTGTAGAGTATAAATTGCAGTGTTTAGAGTTAGAGCTCAGAGACACATCAAACATACATTGTGCTGTAAAATATAGTGTATACTGAAAAGGTCGTTGTATCTCAGATTAACCCCTTTCCTTAAAGGAAAATACCATAGCAGGTATTTTGACCTGTGTTTCTGAGTGCCTGAGAGGGATTTTGTAAAACTAGATTTCCTGCAATGCAGTTAAATGCTACTGTTTGGAGTACTATAGAAGAGGCTAATGGGGAGATTAGTAATCCACCCTTCAGAACATAACTAGAATAATATGCATGAGTATTGGCTACTAGACTGTATTTTTAACAAAATCTGCATATATGCCTATTCTGTGTTGCAAGATTCTAGGCGAAAATATTTGGGGATCTTCTTGCTTAAACAGCATGCCAGGATATAATTAAAGAATAATTAAAGATTATTGGCATGTAAAGATTTTATGAGAAAACAGCAGTATAATTGGACCATATTCAAGTAGCATTCTTTAACTCTAGTGTCTGAATTTTGTAAATTATTTTCTTTAATCAGTTGTTGTGCTGAAGATTTGATGAAATATGCTAAGAGCTGACTACTTAGAAAACTAGCTCCTGAGTGTTGACATTTTCTTCCTCAGTAATATTTGATTTTAAAATTTATTTTTTTAATTAATTTTATCGGTTTTACTGGTATGTGTGATTGTTCTGTCATTCTTACTTTTACTTATTTCCTCTTCCACAGACTAAATCTTGAAGAAGAATTGGATCAGATGAAAGTACAGCACTCTATGGGTGAGCTTACAATTCAGGACTTTAATTTTGTTTGCAACAAACATGCTATGTAGACAAGTTTTCCACATGCCTAATAAATCAATTATAATTTTGATATGTACACCTGCTATAAAATACACTATTATATACATATGAATTATTTATTTGCAGTATACTGTATGATATGTGTAAAATTATTTTAGTTATTTTTGTTATGATTAAAATATGCATGCATATATATATACAAAAAGTTTATATGTTTATGAATCTTTCTGTAGAGCCTGAAATGGTTCTTGCAGTAGTGCAGTGCAGCAATACAAAACTCACATGCTGATCCAGACCTCTCTTTTTAATGCTAATCTCAAAAAGTATGTGGAACTAAATGAAAATCAATATAGTGGAATCTTCAGTGGAATTAATATAGTGGAATCAATACAGTGGAGTCCTTGTAAGAATTGTTCTTGAATATATTCTTTTATATGTTTTATATATTTCTACAGTCTGTAGAAAGCTGATGGTAAAGTGAGTCATTGCCAGTGACATAGGTGATGATTGGTTGCTGCGGTCCCCATCACTCCTCTGATCCTTCATAGTATTTGCTGTTTCTCAGTCACCTGGCAAAAGTAGTCAAGAGTGGATAGGTACAGCAGGGTGTCGGATCTGTGGTGAATTGCTTGTGCTCAGTATTTTCCAGGGGCAGGGAGTAGAAGGAGACTTTGAGGAATTCCTGTTAAAGACAGATGTTTATGGCAATAAAGCCTTCCTCTTGTTTATCTCCCCCTCCCCCTGCCTTTTTTTTTTTCTTGGCTCTTATCTTTTATGTGATAATATTGGCCAGTTTCGTGAAAAAAAAATAAAAAGAAAAATTTTTCCCTTTCTTGAAACTCATTTTACAGTTGCTATAAAAACAAGTGGTAAATACCCAGCTGCTGATGATAGAAAATTACTATTTTATTTTGTTACTCATGTCTTACTTTTATTGCTCCAGAGAGAGTTGAAGGAAACTAGTGAAGATTTCACGTGCTGATTTTAAAAATCATCTCTGTTTTTGCTAATTTGGTCAGTCTTTGTAGAGATACAAGTGGAAGATCGACCAGTAGTGAGTAGTTGGGTGCTGAGCAATAACATGTGCTTCCAAAAAACAGTAATACCTGTGGAGGTATTACCTGTGGAGGTAAATATGGCCCTTGCCATATTTAGTGCTTTGGTGCTGTTTCCTATAGCATCCTGATGGGGAAGCACCAGAAGCATGCGTTAGATGAGTGGACAGTGGCATGTATCGAGGACTGGCCGTAATTTATGGTCACCGTCCAATCCAGATCAAAATAGTAAGTGTGACTAGGTAGCTTTCTGCATCAGGAAGACCAGAGACATTTGGTGAGATCCAGTTGAATTGTCAAAGAAAATCACTGAAGAAGTTTTCAAAGATACAGATGATTGTTATGTTTTGTGAAAATGGGAAACTCCAAAGGCTGCAACACTCTGTTGAGGAAATGGCTATTTGTATGAGACAGGTGAGACTGCACGGGCTGTGTCAGGTGGAGTTCCTGGGCCGAGCTGTTCGTTTCTTAGCATCCATCAGAACTCTTGTAGAAACTGTGTAAGCCTTCATCTCTTACGAGAAAGTGGAAAGTGACTGTTTTGCTTCCAAGAAGTTTCTTTTCAATAGGTTTAGGCTTTGTAGCTCTTCAACATTGGCTGGTAGAATTTAAAAATAATGCTTAAAGAAAAGCAAGCTTTGCTTCTGTCATTCGCAGCTTATGTCCGTGTCAGCTCAGTTGTCTGAGATGGGTCTCTATTGTCCGGGAAGATTATTTTTCAATATTCTTTTGATCCAAAAGTTAGCATCACTAGTCATACCATGTTGAAGATAAGAACGTGCTGACAGACAGACGCTCATATATTTTCCTCCAGAAATTAAAAATTTGGTCCGTGTAGTCACATTCAGAAAAATGGCTAGTGTCTCTTACTCAAGCAAATTATTTGTTCCTCTGCCTCTTATGAGAGATTGTTCCGAGACCTCCTTAGTGGTTAGAATCCTTTCAAATCTCCCGAATTCCCAGCCTGTGGATAAGAACAGCCTCCCTTTCTTCTGGTTGTTGCAGTTTATCCGGGTGTAGCTCGTCTTTGGGAACCCGGAGCTGGTAACTTGGGAGCCTTCAGTGCCACCTCCTATCTGTAAGGGCAAACTTTACCTGCTGTATTCTGGAGACTAAAGTGTCGTCCTGTTAACCATTTATATGTAGGGTTTGTTATAAGACTCGTGGATATATCTGCTCATATTTTATTTATCTTTTTTCTTTGCCGAAGAAAGATGTCCTGATAGTAAACTACAGTATCACGGTTCAAATACTGTTTTGGCAGCCATATCAAGACACCTCATAATCAGATTTTGTGACTATTAATTAGAAATTAATTGCTGTGTTCTAAAGATGGCAGTTAATGATTTCTCGGTGGAACAGTGTCATGGAGCAAGTGGTGGTCGGGATGAGTGACACAATGCACTTCACTTGTGTGAAAGAAACAGTAATAGGTTTTATTGATATGAACAATGATTTCACAGGATTCTGTGGCAGATCATTTATTATTTACTTCATGGGGTATAATAAATACACAGAATTATCAAGGATACCCTCCCATTGAGTCACGGGGTTCAGGACCCCCCTGCTTTCCAAATTCCTTCTGAGAGGAGCCTGGGTGCAGTTGAATCCAATCCTTTCCCAGACCTGGTCAACAGTTTATGTCTAAGGGATTTGTGCACAGTTATGTCAGCAAAGTGAGAAAGAGAGCGTAGTCACCTACCATGAATCTGTTAGGATCTGGCAAGGATCTCTTAGCCCCAAAGAGCGTCCTTGAGAGGTGACCCTGCCCAAGGGGAGATCCCGGAGCTCACTGCCATGCAAGGAGAGCTCAATGGGATTCCGGGCTGTCTCCATACTTATGGGATAAGATGGTTGTCTTACAGTCTTTCTTCCATTTTGGATGGCTCTTAGCTGGTGTATGCATGATAGCCTTATCTCCCCATCAGGATGCAGCCATCAGGACTGCTATTGATGGTTAATGTGTGAGTGGGGGAAGAAATCAAGGAGGCAGCCACCAGGATCAGATGATGTGGTGGTTGACACCTGACCAGGGCTACGTGTGAGAAGTCAGACTGGGCTGGGAAGGAGCACACCCGTCACAGGCAGAGCTATAGTTATATAAGACCATCATAATTTGCTGACTGAAGATTGTTTATTTAATGACTTGTGGCTTTGTTCCTTGAGGGAGAACTTGATATTTTTTATGTAGGTGTATGATGGATAGAGAATATGTCTTGCTGAGTAGACTGGTATGATGAATCATTCTGCTGTCACAGGCAGACCTACAGTTATAGGCAGTGCTGTTTCATTGCCTCCCTGACCAAATCCTCTCAACAATCACATAACAGCTGGGGGCAGGAGAGTGGGTTGAATAGGCCGATTATTTTGTATTTGTTAGAAAGGCTTACACATACTGGCCTATGGCTTTTCATTATGTCACTTCTGATTTCTATATTAATATAGAAGATGTAGAGATCTTCCTTAGTTCCTATTTTGCAGGAATTGTTTTTGTATTATTTATTCTGTGGTTATAATATGTTTATTTATAGATACAGTTGTAAATTATATTTTAATATATCCACATAATAAATGTAGCACCTTTGTGCTTTGATCAGTTTCTTGACTATGGGAAATCATTTTTTGTTTCAGTAGTGCACTGTAAATGCTGATATAAAACCTACAACAGGCATTCAAATGAGTGAATATTTAGAAAAAGATGAAAAGCGTGTTCATATTATCTTTGTGTGTTACTTAAAGAACTCTGTAAATGTATGCAGTACCACTGTGCTGGGGGACTGTACTCTCAAATAACATGGGAACTAACATATTAATATCAAGGTAAAGGTACATATTCCCCAGATGCATAGTTTTACCTTTTTCAGCTTTTATTATCTTTAGAATAGTGTTCCATTTATTTCGTGAATACAGAAGTATTAATTGGCCATGACATGTTCCAAAGACAAAAGAAAGGTCTAATTCACTCTAACAAACTTGTTAGTCACTGTTTATATCAAGAGGATTGTGAATCTACAGAGAGTAACACTGTTTTCTTCTACATTTGCTTTGTTTAAAAATCAAAAGTTTTTAAGTGACCTGCAGTGTCATCTTATAGTTTGAAATAATACTTCTAAAACAGAGCTTCATCTTGTAATACAGATGTTTATCCCTTAAGATTAATTCTTTTAGTTAATTGAGGGGAGCTGAAGAGGAGAAGAAAAGTGAATATTTGACGTTTCTACACTACTGTATGTTTTTGTTCTTGAAGACAGCATATCAAATTTAATAAAAAGATGTTCTGAGGTTTGTAATTGCTCTTTTCTTAGTGCACAGTCAGAGACTGCTAAGCTCTCAGTTTAAATATGAGTACAATATTTTTTACTTTTGGTTTACTTGATCTGGTATTACTGCTATGTGTTTTGGTAGAATCCTTTACTATGAATAAAACAAATTTTTAGCTTGTTTTCTCTATGAGATTTTTAGTGCTTAAAGTGTGTGATGGTGCATAGAGCCATGCTCACACTCATTAATTGTTTCAATTTCTAATTGTTATGAATTCACAACACTGGAATGGAACGATTTGTGTGATTTATCTGGTGAAGTACATGATCTTTCACTTAACAGAAAAGGGGTTTAAAGTTTTCAACCATCCTAATTCTGTTACTGTTTGCTTTGTTCACCAATCACTCTGATCCTCCTAGCAGGGGACAAGACCTGGAGAACAAAACTGGTAGTGACTGTGTAGATAAAAAGGCAATGAATCCTGCTTTTAAGGCGTAGAGGGAATAGTCTATAAAAGAATAAAAATGGGAATGAAAGTACAGCGTCTTTAACCTGCAGATCTATTGTGCCTTTGAAAAGCTTGTACTCTGGAAAAAAAATACTGTGATGCTACAAAGATTCATAATTATGTGACAGAAGACTTTGAAAAGAGGTCGCTCTTTAGGAACTGACCAAAAGTCTTGACAAGAAAATAGACCACAGTCTAAATAATTGAGAAAGTAAAGAATGCATTTCCATACGATGTCTAAGTATTGTTTTATTGAAGTAGTGGCTGTCATAAAATATTATTTATTTTCTGATGAAAGTGCATTATTTTCTGATAGAGCTACTTTCTAAAGTTGGTGAAGATGAAGGGATCAAGAACAGTACTCCAAAGAAAAATGCAAAAGAGATTTCGGATCAGACATTACAGAAGGTAAGGTATCAGCTCCAGCATGTTAATCTAAATTTTAACATGAATCAGATGTACAAGTTAGAACTCATGAATCTAAGCCATGATACTCCTTTCATATGTCAAAAATATGGGCTCTCCAAATTGTGTCAAAAATCAATTATGGTGCAGTACCTGTTGATGCATCATGGGACAAACATGGTTAATGTCAGAGTAAATTAATAGTACGTTAACAGATAAAACGTCAGAAACCAACAAATTATCTAAATTAAGAACAGCATATGGTTAGCATTTACCACCTTTAAGTTCAGAAATATTCATTTATTTTGCTGAATATTTAACTTTATGTTATCAGGAGTTAATCTCCATGGATATTTTCTACAGGATAAAATTGATGTATGAGTGATAAATTTATCTACTATATTTACATTTTAGAACAACAATGTAGGTTCAAACATTTTTGCATATGTGAGTTTATCATTTTTAAAAAATAGTACAGTATGTGTTCTTAGCAAATATTATATGTATTGAACTTTTACTTCTCAGCATTCTACAAGTTTTATTTTCTACAGCTACAAAGTATTCTTAACTAGTTGCTGTTCTTACAGATGTATTTATTACTCCGAAGTAGTTTAGTATTTTAACAGGTGTTCACTTAAGAGGGCTCACTTGTATTTTACCATATGTTTGTTTGTTACAATGAAAAGACATTTTTCAAACAGTGTTACACCTTTTGTTTGTCATTTTGCTAAACAGTGTTTGTGTTAATTACTTATAAGTCCTTAAAAGCATGCTTAAACTGAATGAACACAAATCTATAACTTTGAATGTCAGTTTGGGTATGCCTGTTTATTTTGTATTTGTGAATTAACTTGTAGGAAGTACGGTAATTTACAGCAGATGATGTGATTGCATATACTTCTAACACTTGCCATATGGTCAGGCAATGAAGACTGTCATCTCGTTATTACTGAATGACAAACATCGTGTTAAAATAATAACACACAGAATAGGAAATGCTCACATTCATTTATCTTAAGGTAGAGTGAGTAATTGAAATAATTTGAATGCTACCATCTGAAATGTCACACAGTTTACACTTGGTTATCATCTATGTTTCAGAACCATAATTTTGTTTGCCAGGTACTACATAATTTTTATCTCTATGGATCTATGGAGTTATGATGGTACCTTAGGGATAAGTGTAGAACCTATTCATTGTTTGTTTTTTTCCAACTGTCATAAATGTCTTTAAGTACTAGCGAAGGCAAAAGGTTGCTTCTAAGGAGCTAAGAAATAGGAACAGAATCTCCACTCATAAAGGTTGCTAAAGAAAGGTATTCTCTATCTTTATCAGTGGGGAGGTAAGTACAAACTGTTATTCTAATAATAAATTGCTGTTTCACTGAAGTATTTGGCAAAATCCTTTCTCTTCCTTTTTTCACCCACTAAGTCTGTTTAACCATAACACAACATCTCTTTACTGTGAGGGCTGTGAATTTCCCACAAAGAAGACAGTAATGGAAAAATATTCATATTAAAGATTTATCGTCCAACTCCTCCACAACTTTATATGAAGAGGTTTGAGCATCTATTGCCATAATTGTTCTTGATTTTAAGACTTCACTTTTCTGAATCAAGCTCATAGTACACATTTTGCAAATCATTCCATAAGTTTTAAACAACCGATATGCAGTAGTCAAAAAAAAAAAGCTTTTTTTGAAAAAAAAATGTTTTCAATGTCAAAGTTTTGGGGCTTCAGTTTGTTTTTTACAATGCTGTGAAGGCATAGGATTGGCCTTATAGGACAAGATAAGTAATTTGATGTGGATTCATGCATAAGCTCGCATAGAGGTTATGCTGAGCTGGGGTAAATTTGCCCTTTCTGTGGTAGCTAAAAATGCGGTGTTCTTTAGTTGCTGAGCTTCTGGTGTCTCTTACTATGAACTTTTCTTTATTTTTTTTGAACGTGGAATTAAGATTTAATTTGTGTATTTAAAATGTGAAAGAACTTGTAGTTTTATATATCTAGGGCAAAAATTTCTATATTTAAAAATAGCTTTTCTTCTGAAAATGTTTTTTTAAATTGATTTAGTATCTATAACCAAATCAATGATAAACTCAAGATACATCAGGAAGGTTCATTTGCATACTTAAACTTCTGTGTCACTTTGCCTCGAATTTTAACTTCTTTCACCATCTGCCTTTTGTTCAACAGCTGTATTATTGCAGTTAAAATGTATTCATCTGCAGTGTGTTAGAATCATTTCTAAATTAAGGTCTTTAGATGACTTTTGTCCTTGTACTTAATGAAAAAATATTTCAATATAATAAATACATTTTAAAACATAGTTTTTTTCTTTTTTCTTCTTTCTAATAAGCTAAAATTGACTGATTGTATTTTTGTTAGGTACATCAACTAGAAAGAAGATTCAGAAGTATTGGAGGGGAATTAAAGAAACTGAGAGAAGTAAATAAAGAGTTGCTGAAGGACAAAAGTGATTTGAAAGCATCTTTGGAAGTGCAAAAAGAAAATGCAGACCTCAGAGAAAGAGAACTGGAAAACCTGCGTAAGGGAATTTGTGAAACAAAAAAAGACAAAGCAGAACTCCAGGTAGTGGTTGATGAGCAGGAAAGAGAAGTTGTCTTTCTGAAGAGGCAAGTGGCGGAAGCCAACAGATTGAGAAATGAAAATGAAGATTTGCTGAGTCAAGTGCAGGAACTGAAGTGTTTGCTGGATGAAGCCAAAGCACTGGCAACCTGTGGGCAATGTAATTGCAAAATAACAGGCAGCAAGGTTAAATTAAAAGCAGCCAGGAAAAAGAGCTCTTTGGGACATCATGGAGCTTTTCTCAAACAGTCCATCAAGGTTATGAGTAATGTATTTGAGAACTTCAGTAAGGACGACTGGGAGGATATGAGTGAAAGCAGGTACGGCTCTCATTAACTTAGCTCTGTAGAGGGGACACTGTGCATATGTAAAACACTAGCAAATGGAGATTGAATTTCAACTACTGTTGATTTGGTATTCAAAAAAAATACTGTCAGATCCTTTGAAATATCTTGGGAGGTCTTGTTCTGAGCTTATTGACTGAAATTTGCATGCAAAATTAGCCACAACTGCATGAGTATTTGAATAGGTGCCAGGAAACCCAAAAGAAGGCAATGCTTGATTTCTTCCAGTGATGCTATTTTCATGCAGTCATGAGGCTTGAAATTGACAGTTTGGCAGGTTGATTTAATTTGCTGGCCCTTTGCATATTCACCACTGACAGCTAAGGATTCCCAGGCAAGCCTACTAAGTCGGTTTAGTTATCTTGTGACATGCCGACCCGGGAGGAGAAACATTTCTTCCCCTTAATTTAGTTAGATAAATTTTGAATGACCCATTTCAGCTTGCTAGCAGATGTCTACAAGCTGTTTAACGTCCTTTAAATTAAGAACCATCCACACTAATTATTTCATGTATGTTTTATGCACAGTCATTGTACTAACTTTAATTGAATGATGGTTAAAAATTAGTTCTTTAAAGGTAATTGTTACTGCCGAGAGTCCCAATCATGAGTCACAAGCTCCTCAGAAAATAGTGCTAGCAAGATTCATAAATGTTTAGAATTTTTGCTTCTGCGCATCAATATGCTTGAAAAGGCAGTAGTAAACCCCTAGTGAATGAGTTACACGGCTCTTATTTCTATACTTTGCCCTAAGAGGCGTGAGAGGTGGTTTCTCAAGCCTCTATCTGCCTGAAAAAAATAAAGAAGCTGACAAAGACTAAAGAAAATGTATCTTCTTTGCAGGCTTTGCATTTACTTTGTTTTGTCTTATGGAGCAAATCACTTAGTTTCACTGTTTCTCTCCTTGCAAAATAAGGGGCCAAGAATACATAGTTTATGTGCAAAATATCTTGAGAGAGAAAATATTTTTTAAGTACCTAGTAACTTATTAGTTACTATCAGTAATATCAACTTTGTTTGCCTTTCTGTTTTATTTAAAGCATGTCTAATTTTACAAAGAAGTATTGTTTCAGTTAGTGAGCTTTTTGTCTAATTTGCTCTGCTTTGCTTTTTAAAAATTAGTTTGAGCAAATAAGCTGCCGTTGAAAGCCTCGTTCAAAATGAAGTGAAAAGTGACTGCATGCCTTCAACTGTTGTGGCTAGCCATAGACATTACTTAGGCATAATTATGCCATTGTCAGGTTAGGAAATTTTTATAGTAAAAGAGTGAAACATTTTTGAAGATGATATTTCAAGATGTCAATCTCGGCACTAGGAAAATTAGTTCGCTTATTTTCCTCTACTCCTTATCGATACTGTTCTTTATCAGTAATAGATGGCTCTGAGTTCCTAGATTCAGGCCTTTCATTTTCTAGACAAAAGAAAATTCCTTGAAAACATTCAGATGAGAGAAACATGCACATAGTTAACAATCTCTCTGTGCTACTGTAGGACCTTCGAAACATTACATTGCCTTCTGTTCCTTGCAAGCCATTAAGACCTACCAAAGTACCAGGACAGGTTTTGGAAAGTATAAACACATTCCTATTGATCTCTCCTCTTCAGTTTGAGGCCATTTCTTTAGTTAAGTCAGACGTGGGTCTGACCTGTTGATATTTATCAGTGCAATGTTACTGAACTCAGTTGTGCCTTTGAAAATGTTTTGGTTTAAAAAATAACAAATCAAAGGTATCTTCAGCCAACTGATTTCTCACCTTAACTCTGGTTGCAAAAATGATGAGTAATTTTTGTTGGTACATGAGTCCAAGGCCTGTTTTCATAGACTTCTCTGAATATGGACTTGATGATCTTCAAGGTCTTTTCCAACCATAATGATTCTATGATTCTGTATCAGAAAAAAAAAAAAAGGGAGAAAGGCAGAGAACTCCTGAAAGTTAAGAGCACATTCATTGTTTATCATCAGATAGCAGTTTTAGGGAGGGCTTTAAAGTAGAACATACATTTCAGAACTAGTTCCCTAGCTTTCGGGAGCTAGGAGATCTCCAAAAAGTAGCTAGATAGAGATTTCACTGAAGTGTAACTTCCAAGTTCGTCCTAGTCAACAGCATAAATAAAGTTCAACTGAAACAAAATGTTACTCAGTTAAATATAAATACTCTGTATTTGTTGTTCTGTTAGCACAGATCAAAATGAAATAGAAACTTGATATATACTTATGAGCTATTCACAGAATATGGACGTACTACCAACTATTTTTTTTCAAATGTGTAATTTGCATGCTGTAACAAAAGCCTGGTTCTTTGAGAGGTAGCTATTAGCTTAGTACTCCAAGCAGTGTACACTGTATCCCCTTTCGTATTTGATAAGGCATTTTGAAATTTCACCTTTTATCATATTTGTAAATACCTATTGAATGAGCCAAATGAATATCACCTGGGTTATATTTTAGTTTCTTTGTTAAAATAGTTCTGCTGCTTGTGGTCTTTTCTTCCTGGTCACTTAATGACTTTTTGAAACTTTTAACTGTCATCACTAACTTTTAACTTTGTTTTCTTTTGTTTTCCCAAATGTGCTGTTCTAGTGACTCTGAAATACCAACTTCTGAGTGTTTGGGAACAGTGATTATGGAAACCATGGAAAATATTGATTCACTGACAGACAGGACTAAACAACAGGAGAAAAAACAAATAAAAGAAAGCCAGATGCTTTGCAACAGGTCTTATTTAAAAGGCAAAAGTCAGCGATATAATAAAAAGGTATATTGTAACTTGTTTTGTTCTGTTATACAAAGGATTGATACTTAGTAGTATATATGATGACTACTATTACCATATCACTGAACTTGACTCTCATTGTCACCAGAAAAGAAAATCTTGTGCTTTCAGATACTCATTGAGTAGAGTTGCAATATCATTTAGGATTTCCGGAACAGTGGCTGCAAAAGTATTTGGAGGGAGTACCAGGAGTTCAAAAGCTAACTAAAATATTTAAAGCTGCTGTAAACTAGTCCTGTTGTCTTCCAGTCCAAGCAAAGAATGCCACAGCCACCCTATTAAACTCCCTCTCAATCAGATAAGACAAAAAGAACAGGGTGACCTAGCTCATAGCAAGAGATCAGCAAGATCCTCCTTCCTTCCAGCAAAATTCTCACTCATGAATCAACTATCAACACTTTCCAGATTGGTGTAAGCAGAGGATTGTCCCCAGCTTGGCAAGATGCTTTTTGCTCCAGTTCTGCCCAAGAGATTCTGTCTAGAGGAAAGTGTGCTGCTAAGTTTCTTTAGGGCAGTGACACTATTTACATTCATTGTCTGGGAAGAAAACCCCTTGACTAACTCCAAGTATCTATGTGCTATTCTCTCGCAGAACAGGGCCAGCTAGTTTCTTCCCAGGTCTTGAAAGCCTCCATACAATTGGTACAACTCGTTTTTGGACAAGTGAATAGTGTCTAATGCACCTCTTCTGGTGATTGCCTAATAAATCACTTTGCAGCATGGAATTTAGAATGCAAGCAGATATTGATATTTCTCAATTTGCAAAACAATACTGAAACATCACTTTACAGAATTTGCAGCTAGTTTTCAAACAGCACTAAATTATATGCTGTAATATAGTAAAAAACTTGAAAACATCAGATTTTCATAGTCATCCTCCACAGTTTGAAAGTAAATAAAGCCTCTCTGGTCTTGCAAAACAAGTTTTGTTTGGAAGGATCTGCAACCATCTCTGGGTGTAGAATAGAGAGTAAGAGCAGGTGCAAGGGTATATGTGAAACTAGTGTCATGTGCTATTGTCTCCTTCCACTCCCCAGTGAGAATGTAATTGGCAGAGCATCTCAGAGACTCCTCTGTCTCTTGCCTACTAGTACCTATATGGCCAGTACCTCTTTGCTCGCATTAAGCCATGTAGGGATTTGAGCTCTGTTCTTAAGGGAAAAGACAGATACATTATTTTATCATACAGGCTGTAGGACTTGCAGCATCCAGAAGCATCACAAGTTGTCTTAAGAAACCAAATATGCTTAAGCAGATATATTGTTGCAGAAAAAGCACTTGAAAATAAGGTAAGAGGATGAAAGATGGCAAAATTTTAGCATTCATGGTTCTTGGTGTTCCCTGCTTTGATGCAGTACTGTGAAGAGCACCAGTATACCAATATCACCAAAAATCTCCAATTGCTCCTGAGGGGATCACTCCAATTGGGTAGTGGTATGTAAAGAGAGGTACGTAAAGGAAGGCCAGAGAAGCTCCTAAAGTGCAACCTACTAAGTCCTGAGCCACATCTAGTGTTAGACATAAGATCACTCATTGGCACAAATGCTTTGCCCCATATGAAGTTATTGTCAATATGTGTTATCAGCAGAGTTACTGCGTATATGCTTAGAGTTGTTGCCTGGAATGGAGATTTTAAATACAGTTGTGGTTGTTTTGGTCATCAACATTAGAGAATGCCATCATTAGAGAATGCCATTCTCTAGTAAATTATCACCATCTCAACAAAAATGGTATTGGATAACCAGCATCAGTCATCTAGACATGCCCTTCAGTTTTTGTAGAGTCCTCTGACCATGGAGGAAAAAACATAACTGATTAAGAGCTTTTAATCATCGTTAAAATTGATCGTTACTATTTTAGTTATTTCCAGAAATATGTAATACGTTATCAGCATAGAAATTAGGAGCTGAAGGCTTTAAAAATCATTTGAACCGTGGAGAATTCCGAAACGGTAACTTTCAAAATACTCTGGGATTTGAGAGCCAGGAAACTACTAATTTCATTTTGGAGTCAGGCGTGCTCTGGCCATTTTCATTTTACAGATTACAAGGAGCATTGTTCTTAAGCGTCTGCTTGTGCCAGTTGAACATTTGATAGGTTCAGGGAACATCATATTTTTCAAATGGAGACAGATAATTTAAAATGCATGCAGGTGATTCTTGTTAAACTCAGTGCAGACACAGAAGTTATAAGTATGTTCAAGTGTATGACCATGATGTATATTCAAGATATTTATTCATATATCTTCCAGGTAAGACTCATTGTGTAAACTGATCTTTCTCCTTAGGAAATGATTATTCTGTTTTTTACTATAGTATCTTGAAAAAAAAAAGGAGTACACATCATCCTTTCCTTTTCCTAATAATAAATTCATACTTTATTTAAAAAGAAATGCAGGCATTAATGACTGACTATTTTGCATTTGAGGTTCTTTCAAAATGTTGTTTTCCTGCACCTGCATGCACCTGGAGCTCATACATTTGATGGGAGAGGCAGAAATTTGTACTCAGTCTGTTATTGTAGAACTGCTTTTCACATTGTAATTCAATAGATTTTTTTTTTATATATTTCTGGAAGCAATTTTTGATGCTTCGGTCCAAAGTGGGAAACTTAAGAGTTTTGTGTTGGATGTGTCAGGAAAGCTAAGCTTCATGCTATCATTTTTTTTTTAGGGTCATTCACAAAATAAGGACGAAGGAAACAGGCATTCCAAAAGGAAGAAGATCTACTATCTCATAACAGCTCATCCATCAGTTCTAAACAAAGGTAGGAATAAATATGTATTTTTGGCAAGTTCATAAAGATTGGCAAAGCATTTCTGCTTGGTTTTCCAGTACCTGTGCTGTGATTCTGCAAAAACCCAGCTATTTGCTGTTGCAGGATTTGCCTGACAAAATTATAAAATTTATGTGGACAAGTTTTCAAATATTTACTTTTTATTTTAGAATGAAATCATTATACAAAAAGTGACTGTCAAACCACATCTTTTCGCTCTCTTAAGGTATATTCTATTTTAATTAAGCTCTGTGTGTTGAAATTGCTGACTAATTCGGCTTTTTGGTACTTTTGTTCTTGTTTGTCCTTTATTACAAACACAGCACTAGACAAAATAATGTAGATTTGGCTTAGACCTTAAAAAATCTGTTCACAGACACTGAAATCTTTGCTTCTGGTAGTGCTCCAGGTAGAAACCTGAGCCACAATACAAATATGTGTTCAGTTTGCCATGTTGGTACTTAGAAAAGGAAGAACACCAAACATTTATAAGTCAACTGAATTAATTTATTAGTTTGCTTACTGAGAAGTATGCATATGATGTTCTACAGAAATATTGCAGAGGCTAGAACAGTGTTCTGAATGGCCAAAATAAAATAAAAATGTTATCCTATCCATGATGATCTGTCATTTTAAAAGCATCGCATTTTATGTTTAGTGAACAGAGAAAAAAGGAGAAATACCATAGTTCAGAGACCAGGCTACTCTGCTGCTCTGTTGCGGGAAAGAATTAAGTCATTGCAGCAGCAGGTAGCTGTTCTACAAAATGAAAAAAAGACAGCAGTATCTTCTTCAAAAGAACTTAAAGAAGCCAATGAAAAACTAGCAGCCCAGCTACATTTGGCTGATCAAAGACTTCAAACTTGTAAACAGACCATACAGGTAAACACTTTTCATTATGGTGTCTTATGAGGTTCAGATTAATTTCTACTTTGTTCTATGGAATTATGAAAAGGTTGAGTGTTTTGTTAGGATTTTCTTTGTCAGTTACCATGTTATGATCAAAATTATAAAATGTCATCAGCATGTTCTATATAAGATTCTTAACCAGTTGTTATCTATAAATTTTATTTGAGGGGCTTGCTTTACTGTTGTATCATTCCAGTTGATTAATCCTTCTGTGAAAGATTTTCACATGGATATTTTACTGACATTCAAATGAAGGAGGGAAACCCTACTGTAAGTTTGTGGTTGGTTGCATCTCTGGTAACTTTCCTGAGCTTCTGCTTATCCACATGACCTGGCACTCATTCTTATCAGAAGGGCAGCCAGCTTTGGAGAAACCAGCTGCCTCCAGGCGTGGAATGTTCAGGGCAACTGGAGTTTCCGTCCAAAGGTCTCTCAAACTATATCTGTTTAAACCCAGCCTTTCCTGTCTAGGTGAAAAGCTAGAAAACAAGATCTGTGAAACCTAAACCTGCTAAAGTGTTAGGTTAACTGCTCAAAAAATACCAACTTCCTTCTTTACTTTAGCCTTCATTGCTGTTTATTCTTTTCCTGTACTATTGTTTCTTTCTTGTTTTCCCTGTGCTTGTAGATATACGTATATATATATTCTTTTTTTTTTTTTTTTTGTCTCTGCATGTGTTAATCTATATGCAGCTCCTCAGCTGGAATTCTTTTCTATTCGTACTGTAGTGATTGGCCTGCCCTTTATAGAGCTGAATCAACAAACACTTTTGCAGTAAGTGTCTCCTGTTGGTCACACACACATCCTGCTTCCAGAATTATAGTGCTGCAACAGATGGACTTGCTGGAAGGAGGCAGACATTAAAAAAGAAATCAAATCCCCTCCTCCTCAAAGTTCTCTGCATTTCCCTCATTGCACAGAAGGCAGAAGCAGTATCAGGAGCAGCACTTTTCACTTTCTTAGGGCTGGGGAGCTGCTAATTTCTAGAGAAGGAAAAACCTCATTTCTGTACCTCATTTTGCATAACTATATAGACTTAATGAATTGTTCAAAAGGAGTTTCCAAGGTCATTGGAACCAAAGGAGATCTCCCTATTTCATGATCAATATCATAATGCAAAGTTTCATAGATTGTATAAACTTCACAGACAGTTGTATATGTGATTTGAGTTGAATATTCTGCTTTCTCAGACTTCTTCATGACTTACTTTCTTAGAATTCTGTAGGTGTGCATAGGAGAGCAATGTTAAAACTAGTGTGAAAAGGGTAATTATCACAATATAGTGCTTAACAAAAAAAGTCAAAAAAGACAGTATTTACATGAAAATAGTTGCTGCTATAGTATAAGGCACTTACTCAAAAGTGAAATATTATGTCTCAAAACCAAACCAGTTTTCTTTCACTGTTTCCGAAAAGTAAAAAGAAAGTTGTTCTGAAAAAAACAATGTTTTTTGGTGACTGGTCTATTTGAAGGGTGGTGCATTCTAAGCAAAAATAAATAAATGGTGTTGCAGGTACTCAAGGAAAAATCTGTATTAGGCATGCACATTTTTTTCCTTCTCAGCAACCAATTCAAATTCCCTTTTTTACAACTAATTACTCTTCAGGTGCCATGGTAGTGCTACCAAGTGGGAAATTTTAAGCAGAGGCTTGGGCTACTTGCCAAGTGGAAATTAAGGAGGTAAAGAACCTCCACAGTCACTGCAGGGTACATGCACATTTTAGAGAGAGAACCATGGCTCAGACAGATCAAATGACTTGGGTTTTTTTTGTGTGTTTTATAAGAAATATTTAGTAGCAGGGAAGTTTTAAGATATTGTAAGGGAAATAACATTTAAAAAACACTCTTTTTCACTACTAAAAATATCAGTAAGTTCTTATTTTTCCACTGTTATTTTAGATTCTGCAATTTTCTTGAACAGATAGTGGGGGAAAAAAAGGGAAAAAATGTAGAAAAGTAGAAGATTGAAATAATACCCAGATTCAGGGAGAGAGAAGCTCTTTAACATTGTCAGCTTTGTGAATATCTAAATATAAATTTACATATGTAATCATAATGGTCCTGAGTAACCTTACATTAAGAACAAATTCACGGTTGTGGGTTAATTTACATGTAGTGTTCTAGCAAATGTGAATATTAACATCATGGATTTGGACAACACGATTGTATTGCCTGAATTTAGATAAAGACATAAATCCTTCAACAGACCAGGACAGATGTTTACATGGTGAGTCCTTCTTTATAATCCCTAAGGAATCTAATGCTGGAAGATCAACTGTGGATTTGAGATTTAAATGTTCCAGATGTTCATTTTGAACCAGACTTTGCAGTCCATACAACCTAAGGATTGGCTGTTGATTTTCAGATTACCTTTACCTATGTACTTTCATGTGTTTTTATTGAAGACTCAGCGTATATATATATATATATATATATATATGTATGTCAGTCATATGTATATGTGTGTGGATGTTTGTCTAATGTAGGAATTGTCTGTCTAATTTAGACAAACATTAAGATTTCTGGATTTTAAGTTCTTATTTTATAAACTCATTTAAGAAATGTAGATCTCTTGCTTTTTTTATGCTTTTTTTCAAAAAGCAATTTTGTGCATATTTTTGCAAAATGACTGTAAAGTGACTGCACATGTGAGAATCAAAGCTTGCATTCTCTAAGGATTCCCGTCGACACTGAGTCAAGACCGTCTGTTCAGAAGTACAGTAGTTACATTTTGCAATCAGTGTAGAAATCACAGCTGGAGTTGATACTTAATGTAGAACCAGAGGGATTTAATATTTCTGTAGTTTCTAAGAAAAATGTCAGACAGGAATTTATTGAAAATATTCAGGAAAACTTTTTTTCTAAGATTTATTCCCCCCTCTACTAATTTCTATCACTGGGTGGCTGCTCACAGAAGCATATTTATTGCATTTGGCTGAGTAATGATAATTGCTTTTGTGCAGTAGGGTTGTTATTCAGTTCAGACTAAGTATACTGAATACAAAAAAAAAAGTATGGAACAAAAAAAGAAAATGATATTGCAATATAAGTAAATCCACTGCTCAAAAGTACCATAGGATCTTTTACAACAGTTCTTCAGAGTTTTTAACATGGTGCTACAGGAAGAGCTGCACTTCTTAATGGTTCTCATTAGGAATCTGCAGAGTTCTGTTAGCAAAGTGCCTATGTAAAGTCTGCTTCAGCAGGGTAACTGAATCTCAGAGAATGGGAATAAACCAACCAGTCAGCTACAGACAGATCCATCACAGGGTAATGGGGAGGTTAAGGTGACGCTTCAGATGCATTCTTGTAAATTTCTAGCTAGTTTATTGTTGAAATGAATCTTTTTCTTTTAAGATGTAGCTGTAGCTCAGATAGAGATCTCTCAAAACTTCAACCATTCAGTTTTCTTAGATTTCTTAGAGGAACTATTATTTTCTGGACTCCTATTGTGCCTTTAAAATAAAGTTTGTTTCTCAAACGTATGTTGATTTGGTGGATTATCTCAAAATTAGGAAGGGGTAAACATAAAAAGCAAAAGAGAATATGGCTACAGAAGGCCTCTTATTCTTCAAAGTTTGTCTGTGTTTGTAATTTTCTCTGCATATTCTTTTGACTATCTTAAGTTGACTGAATAGCTTAGAATTCAGGGCTGCATCTTCCAGTTCAGCACCGAAGCTTAGCTCTTACTGTGGTATCCAGATATGAATATCACTATAAATTTAATTGCAGTAAATGCAGTGGCAGTGAAAAAGAGAATGGACATCAGGTCAGACACACTGTAAATAACTGACTCTAACAGTATCATTTACAACAAGATCTCATCTTGAATCTAGTTTTCTTAAAGAGATTTTTAAATAGTCATACTTTTTCATTGTATTATTTTAAAGATGTTGTTTGTATGAGGTTAGTTTTAAGCTTGTGTTTGTCTTAAAAGAATATTTGAGGAATAATCTTGAAATTTTGAAATATAATTTCTTTTAATTCTGCTGTAGTAAGTGAAAAAAGTTAAAACATGCTTTGGGAATTTCTTTTTTTTTTTTTTTTTTTTTTGGTTATTAAATCATTGTCCAGTTAGATATTTTCTGAAAACATTTATACACATATCCTGGTTATATCTTTTTGTGTGCATGGAAATCTATGAACATTCTGGAACATTTCAGGGTTTTTTTATTTTTATTAAATTCATGAGGAAACCTAAGCATTTCAGGTCATCTTTTCTAAGTTACATAGCTATGTTGTTCTCCCTTCCAATAACATAAAAAGGTGTTTTTCATGATGTCTGTCAGACGGTAATAATCATACATACAGAATATGAGAATGATAAATTTTAGTAGAATACTTTATAAGAATTAAAATTCTGCCAACTTAAAATTAAGCATATAAAGTATATCTTAATGAAAGATTATCCCAGAGATTTACTGCTTAGGGGTATATGCTGGAATTCTGATTTCTATATATAGAAATCTAAGTATAAAATAGTATTGCTATAGTGGTCTAATAAATTCTAATAAATGAAATGCGAAAAGAAATCAGTAAAAATTATATATTTTTCTGCCCTTCTTGACAATACCCCTTTCTTTCAGAGCAAACTTCAGTCTGGAATGTCTTGGTTTTTCCCTCATAGAAATCAAAATAAATAATAAAAAAAAATCGAAATATATCCTATTTAGCACAAGATAATCACAGAATTATATTAAACTGTTTAGGAAAAAAAAATGCTTCCAAAAACAAAGCAAGGAAAAATGTATTTTCTCGCTCCCCCCCAGCCCTTCACCTTTGTAAGCCCACAGATTTGGGGCTTTCCTTTCCTAACTGCTTTGAATAAGAGTAGTGTTTTTTAATTTGCAGGAGCTGTGACATTTGGGCAGAATAGTTATAACAAAATAAAGATTTAAAAATACATATTTTTAAAGTAAAAATGTATTTTTCTTTTCTACTTCAGTTAAATTAAAACAGAATTGAAGAAGCC